AAAGAGGGAAGAGCCTGGGAGACCAGTTTTCAGAATCACTTGGGATTTTTGGCACATCTGGGGACCCTTGCTTGAGACTAGAGCGGCTAGGAGGCAGCCAGGGGGACTAGCGTGGCTTTGGCTCCACCAGGTGTATACACATCCTGGCTGTGTGACCTTGAACAAGCTACTTTACCTCAGTCTGTTTTCTCATCCCTAAAGTCACATTAACGCGAGCGTAGCACATGGCACCTATTATGTATGTTGTCGACGTGCTCTATACTCCTCCCCGGACTCTTCATCCCTGTGCTTTCTGTCTCTGCTGCTGCTTTGTAAAGTGGAGATAACGAGCCCTCCTTCCTATGGTGTCACTGGACTAAGTGGGTTAACTTGCAAGATTGAGCACAGGTCCAGGCATGCAGTAACTTTTAAGTATTAAAAGCCTCTCCTGGTATCACGTCCTCTGTCTACCATCTTACCTTCCTGGGTGTGTCTGTGTAGCATCCTCTGCCCCTGTGAGAGGAGACATCGTCAGTTATGCAGTTCGTAGCTCATTTCTAAGGCTGCTGTTTCTTGAAAGTCTTTCCCAGCTTTGTGCCATAGAAGACAAATGTTTCTTCTTTGTTTTATTGATCCTTGTAACCTTGCCCTTGTTTTGATGGCTGTGACATTATTATTGCGAGCCTCTCTTCAGTACCTTTGGGTAGCAGGTGGAATATAATGACAGGTGAGTCATAATAAGTGCTATATTATGGGCTAAGTCTAAGGGGGTTTTTGCCCTAGAATCTTTTTTTTTTTTTTCCTGTCCTGAAATCTTAAAGTGCCAGACAATCTTTTTTTCCTCTTAAAAGGGAAAAATGTTTGGAGTTGAAAATGTTTGGAGCCCACTGAACATTTTGCATGTGAATAATTGGAGTTACAGAGAATGTTCAATAATTCGGCCCAGGTCCTGGCCCACTGCGGCTCCTCAGAGGACTGTGGACTGTGAGTTTTTGTTGAAGGCAGGGCCAGGGCTAGAGCTGGCCCTCTGGGACTATGAGGCCAGGCCTCTGAGCCATCCACGCCCTCTCACCATTGTGTCCTCTGTCCCCTGTGTCCTCTGAGTTAGTCTCTGGGTTGTAGAGTGATGTGTAGGCAGTACTGCGGAAGGCTAATGTAGAAGAGCAGGGGCAGGAGGAGGGCTAGTGATGCTTGGGAACATGAGACTGGGGGCACAGACCTATTGGTGACCCTGACTGCTTGATGAACAGCATGGGTGAGACAGGAGCAGGGTGTGACAGGGGCGGAGGGGGACAGGAGCTGGCTGGACCTCCAGGCCCAGCTCTCATCTGTTCCTTCCTTCCCCGACTCCACAGTAAGCATCTCTGTCCCAAACTCCACCCTGAGCTTTCGAGCATTTCTGCTCTTCCAGAGCTCACCCTCTGGTGTCGGAGACAGGGCACTTTGGGGGACAGGGTAGGGATATGGCAGGAGTGCTGTTACTGCAGGTGATGTTGGGATGGCACTGCAGCCAGGAGGGTTTGAGCCAGAATGGCTGGGTTCTTCCTACTTAGCAGCTCTGTGACCTTGGGCAAATGACTTCTTTAAGCCCACGTTGAAGATAAAACTTCTGTGCAAGGTTCAATTTCAAACAGGTAAAGTATCTAACTTCCTGGTGCTCCGTAAGTAGTAGCTTTATCTGATTCTAACAGAAGTGTTAGGATTTCTAAAGAAATACGTTTTCTAAGTCATCTGTGCTTTCTTTAGTCAGTACGTTGCTGAATAAGTTAGAGCAGGACTTCTCTACCTTGGTGCTGTTGACATTTGGGATGGATGATGCTTTAATGAGGGCAGTATATTGGAGGGTGTTTCATAGCACTCTGGCTTCAATCTACTAGATGCCAGTAGCTCTTCCTGGTCGTGATAACCAAAAATGCTTCCCAAGAAGGCCAGTGCCCCAAGGACAAGGAGGGGATGGATCAAATCACCCTGCCTTTGAGAACTAAGCTAGCAGGTGCTCAGTGCTGGTATTTAATTGCTTCCTTGAAGGAAATTTACTACTGTAATGTAATTTTCTCAGGATTCTTACCTTATGTAGAAGATCCCTTTGTTAAGGGATCCTCTGAGCCCAGTGTAGTTAGCAGTGTTTATCTAGAAACCGGGATAGCAAGTATGAGAGAAAATCAGTAACACACTTATGAGTTACACTGTGAGCCAGAGTTTAAAATGCCCATGTACCAGCGTTTCTTGCTGCTTATTTTCCGTAGGAGATGGGGTTTGTCTCTGTGAAGCCAAGGGTTTAATCTGCTACTGGGCACGGGCCTGGGAGGTAATAATGAGCTTTGACTACGTACATCTGCTCTAGCATGGCGCCTTTACTAAGCTCTCAGAAGAGATGATCTGAATATCCTTTCCTGAAGAAAGATGTTCGAACTTCATTTTAAGACCGAGAAGGAGCTTGCCAAGGGAAGGCGTGAGGTAGAGGGAACAGCTTGTGGGAGGCTGGGGGGTGTGGTGCACCTGGCTGTGGTTAAAGAACTGGAATGATGGATTTTCTGGTCTGCTTCCTGACCTGGTGGAGCGCCCTTGGGGGCACAGTCTGTCTGGTTTATCCTGGCACTGAATTGTAATTCAAAGGCAGAGGCCGAGGAGTATGGTGGTTGAGAGCTCGGGCGGCCCAGAGTTTAGCATTCACTCTGCTATTTTGTATGGTGTGACCTTGAGAAAGCCACCAACTTCGTGCTCCCCAGTGTGTCCTTGAGTGACATGGGTTTAGCTATAGGGAATTAATGTGAGAGTCAAATGAGATAATATAGGTAACTCTCTAGGCAGAGCACATATTCAACACCTGGGTCGGATTTCTGGCCTGCTCTCTGCTTTTGTCAGGGTTTCACATGAGATTTTACCTTTTTTTTTTTTTTTTTAATTATTTTGTCTATGAGCAAGAGAAACAGAGCAACATCTAGAGAACAATTCCCCCAATAGGGTCCTGACACTGTGATATACCCCCGACCTTAGCTCGCCCCAGATCATGGTCACCCATGGCCCAGCATATTCAGGGAGGGCTCTAGAACCTTCTCCATGGGTCAACTTTGCAGAGGGTTGTGCTTTACCATTGAACCACTGTCTGGACCCCATTTTCTTTTTTAAAAGGTTCTTCTATATGAAAATATGTAAAGTCACTGCCTTAAGAAAAAGAACTCAGCTGGGTACTTTTGTTTGATGTGAAGTGCTCAACTAAAATTTTAGTTCTTGTACTGATCTAGCTCTTGGAGTTGGATTCTTTGGAAGGTGAGCAGTGCTAGGGAAGATGTGCTCATTGCTTTCTCTTTAGGGAGGTGGGTGAGCTTACAACAAGGCGGATCACTTTAGAGGCGTGTTGCTACACGAGCCCTTGGGCAGGGAATGGCAGACAATTTTCCGCTATGTGCCAGGTGCCGTCCTTCACTTTACCTGGTTGCTTTGCTTGATCTTCAGTGGCCTGGTGAGATGGTGTGGGCTGGTGAACGATGCTCCAGGCTACCTTCCAGGGTGCCGTCCCTGTGCTTGCGCAGCTAGAGAGTTTAAAATTCTTGTGTCCCAGAGCTTCTTGCTGCTAGAGTTTCTGATGTGAATTAGATACACCAGCTCTTCTCTTATCTGTAAGAAATTTGACTCCGAAGTTATGTGGAGACCATTTTCTTTTCCTTTCGGCTGTTTTCTGATGTTTAGTGATGTCACAGAGAGGTGAGACTTTCCTGCAGCATCATCCCTACGTCCAGTTGCAGCTGACTAGGTGTGTGTTAAGAGGCAGTTGTGGAGGAGGTAGATCATCCTGTGTTCCAGGGCAGAGGTCATGTTGGCTTCCAGACCCGGCTGTATTCACAACCTTGGTAGTTCCAGGGGCCGCTCAAATGTGGCAGCTCCTGGGGCATCCCGTATTGTTCAGGGAGCCGTTCCTGGGAGCCCAGTTTAGAGCCAAGTACTTCAGCCCTTCCAGCAACTTTCAAACACATCTATTTTTTTTTTTTTATGTTTCTTTTTTCTTTTTTTTTGGAGAGGTTTTTGCTATAGAGCGCGTGTGCTCGCCAGACAGACAGAGACATAGAGACAGAAAGCGAGAAATCACCCCCCAGGCGGGATGATCACACTGCAATCCCTTCTCCTCCATTCTCCTCTCGGGATCTTGGGCACGCACGCACACGCGCCCGGCGTGAGTTTTAAGCCACCGGGTCCGGGACATGAACCGCGGTCGACTATGTGGGAGTCCAGCAACATAGCCATTACGCTAACTGCTGGTTCCCAAACACATCTAATTCTTTAAGTTAAATCCCTTTCTGCTTAAAATACCTAGAGTGGTTTCTGTATCCTGCACCGAAAGCTGATTAATTCAGGTAAATACTGTTCATTCCCATTTATGTATGAGGATACCATGGCAAGGAATGGGTAAGCAGGGGTACCAAGGTGATATAAGGCTTGGGTCCCTGAACTTTAGTTCTTTTTTTTAATCTGTGAAATAGAAATAAGTTCATACTTCAAAGAGCTAATGGGATTAAACAGGCAGGGAACGTATGAGGGTTATTCATAAAGTACATGAAAAATGGCTGTTACAGGAACCAGCAGTTAGCGTAATGGCTATGTTGCTGGACTCCCACGTAGTCGACCGTGGTTCGTGTCCCGGACCCGGTGGCTTAAAACTCACGCCGGGCGCGTGTGCGTGCGTGCCCAAGATCCTGAGAGGAGAATGGAGGAGAAGGGATTGTGGCGTGACCATCCCCCCTGGGGGGTGATTTCTCGCTTTCTGTCTCTATGTCTCTCTCTGTCTGTCTGGCGAGCGCACGCGCCCTACAGTGAAATCTCTCCAAAAAAAAAAAAAAAAAATGGCTGTTACGAAAAAACTGCATGGATTTAAAATTTTTCTTGCACTGAAATAAACTCATACTTTAATTTCACCTTTTCACAATTTTTTTTCCCCTTTGTGCTAGAGAGCACATGTGCATGTGTGTGAGAGAGAGGGAAGGAGGAAGTGAGGGAGAGAGAGAGCAACAGAGAGAGAGAGAGAGGAGCAGCCTTGGTGGGATCTCCTCATGTCACAGTCTTTCCCCAGCCCTCCAGCTCCTTAGGGTCCTTCAGGCCAGCTTGGATATCTGAACCTGTGCTTGGTCACGGGTCTTCCAGCCTTGCAGGGCTTGTATTACAGCTGCACCACAGTGACTGGGCTGCCACCAACTTTTTGAAGTCCCCAACACATGGCAGGCATATGAATGCCTATTCTGTTTTTCTCCCAGTGTTCCCTGACTGTGATTTTCTACTGCTTTGACCATTTTAGAATTAGCGCCAGTGAATCGAATGAGATGTGACATGAGCGAGATGTGTAGGGCTCTTCTACGAAATCTGTTGGTTCATGCTCCTGGTGACTTTGACCTGGCAGTAGTGGGTACACGGAAAACGGTGGCTTTGTGTCTGAGCTGCGGCTGCGTGTACCTGCGTAGGAGCACTGGTGACGGTCTCTTCACCTACCTGTCTGCTAGCGTGTGATCTTAAGCAAGGTAGGCACTCAGCCTCTTTGGGCCTGAGCGTCCTTGTGCACACAGTGTGCCGTTTACCCACCTTACATGGCTGTGGAGATGAGAGGGTGATCTGATCAAGGTGTGGTGCTCCAGCTGTCAGGCTGTAGGGAAGCAGGAAGGTGTGAAGAGGGGCAAGCTAGAACTGGAGGCCACGGTGTTAATCCTTCTGTGGTGTGATGAGGGTTTGAAGAGAGATGTGAACATAGCAACAGGCCTCTGGGGGAGTCTGGAAAGAAATAACAGCAGGCGAGATGCCAGCTGGCCTTTGAAAAGTGAGATGCCAGCTGTCTTAGAGGTTTTCGGGCAGCGGGATCAGCATGTGCGAAGTCACAGGAGCACAAGGGAGCCTAGCTTTCCCAGGAAAGCGCCATCGCATGAGGGACCCGGGGTGCACACCGGGTAGGCGCCCAGATGGGGCAGTGACGTGAGGGCCACATTTAGAGTCGACACTCAGAGCACATCAGAGCCAGATGTAAGATGAAGGTCAGCACGGGAGCTGGTGAGCCACCTTGGAGAGGGGTTAGGCTTGTTCACTGGAGGGTCCAGTTGAGCACTCCACTTGGGGGAGGCATTGGCTACCCTGTCCGAGCTCAGGTTCTGGGCTAGGCACTGTACAGTCCCTCTCTGTAAAGTCTTTTACAGCCCACTGGAGACAGGCTCAGAGACCTCGCAGACTGCAGAGCTGGGCTTGAACATTCACTCTCTAACTCCAAAGTCCATGCTCTTTCTACAGAAGACTCTCCCCTCCCTCTCGTAACACGTGTATTATGATCAGAAAGGGAGAACAGGGCCTGGGAGAACAAAAGGAGATGACCAGGAAATCGGGCGCAGTGGCACTGTTGGTGGAGCTAACTGATGCTCTGCGGCGGGGTTGGAAGATAGGAGGAGAGCTCTGTGCCAGGTCAGGGAGGTGCACCCTGGGGCATCTTTATCAGGGTTCAGAAGCTTCTCAGTGGGATGAGGGTTGGAGAAGCCACTTTGGCTATTGTGAGCAAGCAGCTGAGAACAAGCAGTTGAGAACGCCTTTCCTTCTCAGATTTCTCCAGGCATCTGAAGGTGTAGGAGTGAAGCTGGTTATGAGGCCTGCTGGTTGAGTTATTGGCTTTCCCTGCTGGCTAGCTACCCAGGAGGGAAGACTGCATCGGAGTGGAAATAGCACAGGTGCCTCCTGGAGGCCTTGAGCAGGAGAGAAGCAGAAAAGATTTTGGCAAGCAAGCAAATAGCAGGTGAGTAATCCTAGGATTACTCAAAAAAAATCTGTGAGGGCTCTTGATATCTTTTAAATGTTTTAAGTTTCTGAAGTATTTTTCATAGGCACATATTTACTTTGGGTCCTCTGACCCTGTTTTGATCCTCCTACCCCAAGGGTTAAAGTTACCCAGTTGTGAATTTTTACACCATGTGGGTTTTCAACAGCTTAACTCTCTTGATTCAGAATGTCTGTGTTTCTTTTCCAACCAGTGGTTTACATAGCTCAGCTCTTACCATTGGTGCAGCTCCTGGGAGTTCATCGGTGACCTTTTAGAGATGTTTCTCTGAATCCAAACAGCTTCATTTTTAGGTTGTCCTTGGGGGTTGGAGAGGATGCAGCTGATAGTGTCACTCTGCAAACATGGCTGAAAGGAGCTACAGGAGGCCAGTTTTCTGTGTGCTGGACACACATGGGAGACTGGCTGGATCTGCGGCAGGCACTGTTTAGAGAACTGTCAGTGGTACAGCTGTGGTCAGAAAGAACAGCTGGGGCTGTGAAGCGTGTGCTGCAAATCCTTTTGGCAGCAAATCATAGCCATAATAATTTACTTGCTGAGTGACTTCTGTATATCAAGCATTATTCTAGATCCTTAAGTATGTTTCTCATCATGTATTCTTAAAAATATATTTACTGGGACCAGCAGTTAGCATAATGGCTATGTCGCTGGACTCCCATATAGTCGACCGTGGTTCGCTTCCTGGACCCGGTGGCTTAAACTCATGCCGGGTGTGTGTACGTGCGTGCCCAAGATCCCGAGAGGAGAATGGAGGAGAAGGGATTGCAGCGTGGCCATCCCCCCTGGGGGGTGATTTCTCGCTTTCTGTCTCTCTATCTCTCTCTGGCTGGCTGGCAAGTGCAC